CATAGATATGCACCGGGGCTGGTTCACATAAAAAAAAAAAAAAAAAACCAACGAAAAAATGAGCTTCTTTCTATTCACTAAAATCAAATTTGAGAGGGTTTAACCACCTGGGAGTTTTACTGGGAGTTGGGATGAGATGGTCTTTAAGGTCGCCTCCAGCCCAAAGCACCCTGTGATTCTGTGACTGTATGATTTCTGTCTTTAAAGTCACCACCTCCTCTAGCAGAGCCCTTTCCCTGCTGTGACACCAAAGGGATGGTAATGAACACCTTGTTCCCACCAAGAACCAGATCCCAGCAGCATATGGGCTGTGAGGGGACGCCGAGGCACTGACTGACTGTGTACCCCAACCCTGCACATCCCCACGGGCCCCCTCCCACAGCGAAGGTGAAAGGGGAACCGTGGAGTCTGAGCCGAGGCTGCCTCACCACGCCAAGGCTCTGACAGAGGTTAAACGACCAGACTGTGGGGCTTTTGAGAGGACCTGTGTCCCCAGAGTGTTCAAAAGCCACTGACACCTTTCCCTGAGGAGTGAGAGCTTCCTACAAAGTGCTCGCAATGGGTATCCCAGCGAAGGTGGGATTTTAATTCCATTATGATGAATTCAGCATCTCAAATCCTTTACATTTGGGGGGGTGAGGGGGAAACTTTTATTTGTCTTAGAGCAAAAAATAAAACAGATATTTCTCAGCCTTTTTTCATCAGTCTGCAAAAATCCTCAGAATCACCTGTGAGGGACAAGGGAAATTCAAGGAGCCAAAAAACTTCAAATTTGAGTTTTTCTGCAGTGAGGTGGCTGTTGTTGGTACAGACAGACCCCACTTTGGCTTGGTACAGACAGCCCTGCTGAAAAGGGGCTGCCAGGATGGTTCCCCTTGCCCGCTGTGTGTACACACACAGGAAGGACTGTCACACACAGAGCTGTGTGTGGGTGACATGCTCAGCCCCACCACGGGTGGCCTCTGACACGTCCCCGAGTGCAGTGACACAGTGGGAGGCCACAGGGCCATGTCCTAAACTGTGACTTGGTGGGTTTGAGTGTCTCAAGGTGCACCAAGGGACCTGCTTCCTTCATCGCAATGCATCACAAAAGGACCCGCCCCCTAAAAGCCTCTGAAACTGTAGGTTTAAATCCATCTGTCATGGCTTTGATGGTTCACAGCTTCAGCCAGAAAGTAGAAGAGCAAGTCCTGGGAGTAAGGCGGGATGGGTCGGAACAGCTCAGGAGCCATCGCAGAGCTGCACACGCCTTGACACTGCTCCTCATGCCAAGGACATCTCCCAGCACCTCTCAGCTCAGGGTTTAAATGAGCCTCTGGAGATTGGGATGCCTCCAGGACAGTCACGAGGATTCTGGGCTCTGTGCCTCTGTACACCCCAAACACCTGCACTGCAACCTGACGGGCTGCCCTCCCTTCCTGAAACCAGTGTTTTCATGTTAATGGCACATGGAATCATCAGCTGGATTGATGACCTTGGAGGCCTTTTCCAACCAAAATGATTCCACGACTATTCCCTGAAGCATTTGTGAACACAGCAGCTCCTCCACACCGTGTCTTGTGCTCATTTCCCCCTCCCAGTTGTTTATGGGCTTTGCTCACCCAGCCCATATGAGCTGTGAAGAATTACATTCTCACCACCTTTCCTCAGTCCCATGAGCATCTCCATGCAAATAGCCATATTCCCAAGCACTCCCTGGAATTCCAGTGTTAGCGTGTCCCCCCTGCAGTCGTGGGTGAGCCAACCCCTCTGACTGCCACGGGGGTTTGGTGCCCACCACAAAGGGCAGCAGGGCCAGGTGTGGGTGCAGCCAAGGTGCTCCTGGGGGCTGGAATCATGTCCAGCTCCTGCTCATCCATTGCTGGGCCTCAGGTGATCCCATACCCAGCAGTAGAGTGGTGTGTCCGTGTTTTTACTCCTGTTTTCACAGTGTCCATGTTTTCACTCCTTTCCTCTGCAAAGTCAGTTGTGTTGGATGATGCTGGAGCCAACACTGCATGGAAACACAGTAGCTCTGTTCTGGCAGCTCAGACATCTTACTCGTCCCTTTGACAGGGATTAATGGATAAAGAAACTTATGGGTGAGGTTGTCCCACTGTCCTCAGTTCTCCAGGAGCATTTGGATCCAGAAGGTGCCTGGCAGCCCTCTGGCAGGGAGGGTGAGCAGTGGAGCTGTGCCCAGCTGCCTCAGCAAAACGTCATTTGATCATTAAGTTCACTCTTTGAAATATTGAAATCAGTTTTTATCTGATAAATAGTTCTAAAATTAGTATTTTAAAAGATTTAATATTTAATTAATTATTGATTAAAAAATAAGTTTTAAGCCAATTGGAAAAACATCAGCAGCAGTGGCGCAGCCTCAAACAGCCCAAGAGTCCCCCTGTCCAGTGGCTGCAGACAGTATCCATCCTTCCAGTGCTCCCCAACACCACATTTATATTGATTGTTAATATTAATTTATGCTAATATATTAATACTTTATATTCCCTCCCACAATCTGATGGCATGTGCCATAAGGAGTCACTGCACGGGGTTTTGGTGTCACATTGACATTAAACTGTGTGTTTGTTGTCAGTCACTAGAACCTGCACGAGGTACATTGGCAAAAAACCAAACTTTGAACCTTCTTGTCAGCTGTCAATAAAACTTATCAGTCTCTTTTATGAGATTTTAATTTTTCAGATATTTATTTTATTTTGTGTTATTGACTTTATCTTACTTATTTTACTTACTTTTATTTCATTTACTTAGGGGCCCAGGTCGAGGCAGGAGGGGAGGGCAGGAGCCTGCCCGTGGCAGCACCAGCAGCAGGGCAGCCTCGGTGGCATTGTCTATGTCTTGTGTGCAGTTCTCACTCTACAAGGCCTTCAGGGGAAAAACTTAAATAAAATAAAAATGAAACAGACACGGGAGATCCCAGTGCCCCTGGACTGGGGCAGGGAACAAGCAAAACCTCCTCCCACCTCCCTGCTGCACTCAGAGGGGTGAAAGGGAACTGGATCCTCACGTGGAAGAGCAAAGCAAGGCAGGACAGGGAGAGTCAGCACACCAGTGATTGGAGCAGTGGGGAGCAGAGGACAGGCTGGGGGAGATGGGGCAGAGCTGGGAGCCAGCAGCCTGGCACAGCCCTGCTCAGGACATGGCCACTGTGGTCACCACGGCCACCACACCAGGGGCTGCTCACCCAGGGTGCCCTGTGGCTGGGCTGGGATCTGTCCCAGTGCACATCATGGCAGTGATGAGTGAGTCAGTGGCGCCACTGTGATCTGTGGGTCACAGGATCATCTTATCACAGCGTGTTTTGGGTTGGAAAGGACCTTCCAGACAATCCCGTTCCACCTCCCTGCCATGAGCAGAGACACCTTCCACTAGACCAGGTTGCTCACAGCCCTGTCCAACCCACAGTGCCATCCCTGCGCAGGGCTGGTGTGGGGGAGCCCCGTGGACTCCCCGGGCTGCTGGAGATCCAGAGTAGTGGGGATCATAGTCCCAGCACAGCAGGGCAGGCTCCATGCCAGCGGTGCTGAGCGCCCGGCACAGGAGGACTGCGGGTTCCCCAGGCAGAGGGTGAGACCCCCGCACACCCACCTGCCAGGGGCAGCAGCAGCGATGGCCCCGGTCCTGCTGCACATGACAGCTGAGCCCCCAACCACACCCAAGCCCCCCCCAACCACACCTGAGCCCCCTAAACCACATCTGAGCCCCCTAAACCACATCTGAGCCCCCTAAACCATGCCTGAGCCCCCCAGCACCACTGACCTGAGTAGACCCACCCCAATGCAGAGTTAATCCCAGAGCCAACCCCACTGGCAGCACTGCAGGCAAGAAGAATCCAAAGGCAGAAAGACAGGGAAATCTGATCACATTTGTCAGGACGTGCTGTACTGACCCTGCATCTCCCAGTTTTTCCTCGGCTGGGCTGTGAGTCGCTGCCAACGCGGGACCAGGAGTCGCCGCTGGGTACAAGGGCAAGATGCAGTGAGTAGAAAAACTATTGGAAGAGATTCCATTTGGATCTTCAGGAATCAGGACTTGGTTGGCATATTTTGGGGGAAAAAGGCACATTCCTGGGGGGGAACCCCTGGCTCCTCCGGGGTTGC